CCCCTCCGGGAGCCCCTCCCCGTGTCTGCGAGCTCTCACTGAGCCTGGTCCTGGGCACAGGTGAGGCCTGAGGCCCTCCCAGGAGTGAGAATCGGGCGCCTTTCGAAGCTTCTTGCCACCTGTGCGGCCTCCCTCCATCCTCTTCTTTCCTCACAGAGAACAGCATCTCTGGGTTACGATGAATTTTCAGTGAACAGCCAGGGTCCCTTCTCCCTTCCAAACAGTGCGCTCGGCCTGCCCCGGACCCGCTTTTCCGTTTCCCTCCTGGCTCCGCGGCCCGCGTCCAGCTGGCACCTGCGTGGCCTGCGGTTTGCAGGATTGGGCCGCCCGGCCTCCTGCGCACAGACCTCCCACCATCTCCCGGAACCTGGTCGTTTCCATCAAGGGCGCTTTCAGCGCGCCTGCTCCTCCCCTCCGCCCGCCTGTTGAAAGCTACTTTTCACTAAATGGAGTCAAATGAAAGGCAGATTACCGGCGTTGCTTTGCGTCTGCTGATGACTTAATGCTATGTTTGACTCTATTTAGAAGTAAACGAAGGCGCCTCTGAAAACTGTTGCCCCAAGTTCTGAGAAGCTGGGAAAACAGCCATTACCTTTGCTTCACGGCCTCTTTCGCCTCCCGATGGGCGTCCAGGTGTGTGCAGCCCTGGCCCTCAATGTGGGTGCAGCCTTTTCTCTCTCACCTCCAGGGACGCAAGCTGAGGGCCTGCCTGGAGAAACGGAGGCGGGGAGGGGAGAGAGGAGGGGAGGGGAGAGGAGGCGGGGAGGGCATCGGCCTGCCTGGAGAGGGAGTTCAGGCGGTCAGTGTCTGGTGTGGCCTGGGCACGTGGGGTGGCCGCCCTCCAGGGTGGTGGCCGGAGGGGCAATGGATTCGGAAGCCCTTCCCTCTGGTGAAGGCGGGCGGGGCTCAGTGTACAGCTAAAGCCCACCAGTTAGGGCGCATCTGCTGGCCATGCCGCGTGGGCTCTTCTGACCCCAAAGCAAAGCCGGGTCTGAGCTGGTGGGTGGGAGACCGTGCAGAGTGAGGGAGGCCCCGCGCCGTGCCCGGGAGGCCCCCGTGGGCGCCGGACTGTCTCTCCACACTGCTCCCGCCCTCCCCTACCCAGGCCGTGGGCAGTGGGCAGCCAAGTGCAGGTGGCAGAATGGACTGAGGGACTGGCCACACCAGCTGCGGGTTGAACGTGTCCCCCAGAACCTCAGAATGTGCCCTCATTTGGGAATAGAGTCTTTGCTGATGGCATCAAGGTAAAGACCGAGATGACTTCATACGGGGCGGGTGGTCCCTCAATTCAGAGAGAGTCGTTACAGGAGATGGAGGGGGACGCACAGGGTTCACGTGGTGACGGAGCAGAGGTGGGAGGGAGGTGCCCCGCGCAGACCCAGGAGGCTGGGCTTTGTGGCAGGTCAGCCCCTCCCCCAGGTCACAGGCATGGCTGCCCCCCGTCATACCCCACACACCACATGACGGGACTAGCCTGACCCGGGGCGCAGGACGTCCTAGAGGGGACAGAGGCAGAGGAATTCACCCCACGCACGCGGGGGAGGGGACGCTCGGCTGGTGGGGCCGTCTTGTCTCTTCTCTCCGGGTTTCTGCTGAATCCCGGGAACTGAGGTTCCTGCTACGCACCTGAGTGCCGAGGCGAAGGTTACGGAGCCTTTTCCCGCGGGGGTAGGAAGAGGCCCCCTGCCTTGTCTCGGCGAGAGGGGACTCCTGCGAATGATTATTTAATTTACTCAATTCTCTCGATCCCGTTGCTGTGGGATGTCCTCCTCCAGCGGAGTGGGGGGCGGGTAACGAGGCTTTAATATTTGCACGGCTCTGAAGCGAGGCCGCGATGGCCCAGGGGCCGCTGTGGCTCGGTGGCTTTAAAACAACTCCCGCTGTCTCACCATGACGACGGGAGTGGGTCCCCAGGCTGTGGGGCTCAGCCTGGTCCCTCCCCGCGACCACGGGGACCCAGCGAGGCCGGACCCAGAGGGACCCGGCCACTCGTCCGTCCAGCCCCGAGGCCGCCTTGCCTGTCAGTGAGAGGTGGGTCCCGGTGTGGTTTACTCCCTGGAGCTGGGAGGTGTTCCCAGGTCAGTGAGTCCTGACGGTTCTGGCTCGGCCACCCAAGGGGCAGAGCCCTCCTTCCGCCGGGACCTTGTCGGCGCGAGGTGCTCGGTGGGGCTTTCTCGGGCGATTTCTTTGTCAACTTCGCTGCCAGGATGCTCAGCGCCAGGAACCCCGACTCTTGGGAAGGGCGGGGCGGCTCCTGAGGTCTGTGGTCCAGGCCCCGAGGCCCATCACCCCCAGGCCCCGCCCC